AACGTGAAACGGAGCTGGGAGAAAGAAATGTGGAATAACAACAGTTCCACATCTACAATTACATCTAATTAAAGCTGAAGCAACATTTTGCCTGGATGAGAATTTGCTCCTTTTTTTATTCTTTGCACCTTTGAAAACAGGGGTCTACTGAGGCAAAACACTAATAAAGGTAGCAACAATTACAATGCATCTCAGCAACAGAAAAGGATCCATTGAACAACCCATTATTTTCCCATCATTAGCTTTTTTTTTCCCAGTGAAGTTTCTTTTGGTGTTTATTTTTTTTATATGGGGGGTTTAGAATATAAGCAAACTATTGTTGCCATCTAGTGGAAATGGGAGTTACAGCAGTATAGTGTTTTGTTTGGATACAGTAGTCAAAGGATGTTCAAACAGTCCTATAGTTCGCTCAAATTTTGAGACTTCTGGAAAAACAGGTTTAGAATTGAAGGAAAGGTACACCTTAAATACTGTCTCAGTTAAATAATATGCAGAACATATTAACTTTCACCTGCCTGCCTAGCCTAAATGGCTCTTTGGCTCCATGTACACATTACATAAATCTCCTCGATGCTTTCCTAATGAATAACAAATTGTGTCTAAGCTGCTACTTCTGGTGGCTCCCAAGTCTGATACAGAATTTTCTTTACCATCTCTGGTACAACCTGCATAAAATGAAATAACAGAGACACACTAAAATGTTATGGGGAAAAGCTCAGACGTATAACCGACTTGATACTCTTAATTTCTTATAAAAACATAAGCAGTGCCCTGTTGGATTGGATCCCCCAGTCTGTTACCCTCAATGGCATAAGGTGGCTCCCAGCAGCCTTCAGAGGCAGTCACACCACCATCAAGGCTAATAGCCATTACTTCCATGAATTGGTCCAGCTGTTTTTTTGAAGCCACGAAGCAGCATCACTTCTTGTGGTAGCAAATTCCAATATTGAATTATATGTTGTACTTTTAAAAAAACATTTTGTCTGTCTTGCTTCTTTGGGGTTTCGATTTCATGGAGTGACCTTCGGTTCTAATAGTTTGTGAAGGGGAAAACAGTTTCTCCTTGACTATTTTATTCACACCATGCAGAAATGTTTATCTTTATTACAAAATCTTTTTCCTTATTTGTTGCTGCTAGCTTGGATTCCATTAGTTTGTATGAGTAGTTAAGATTTTGGGCAGCAAAGTACATTACTTTAAACGTGAAGCACATCTGCCATTTTGACACCCATTTCATTTGGAGCTTTTCAGTCTCTTATCGTTTTTACCACTCTAAACAATTTTGTGTTGTCAGCAAACATGGCTATTCCACTAGTGCTCCCTATTCCAAATCATTTATAAACATGTTTAAAAAGTGTCAGTCCTAGAATGAAACCCTGAGGGTGCTCACTGGCTACATCCTAAAAATCATAATGTAGTTATCACATGAAAGTTTGAATCACGGATTAATTCACAGAGTGTTGGGTTAACCCAACAGAACTAATCTCTATTTCATTGAACTGTAGTTTATCAAATTAACCACCAGTTGTTTTCAACTAGTTGAATCTTTCAATATCAGTGGCTGGTTATATGGAGCCCATTAAAGTAACCACAAATTATTATTTACAAATCAGGATGATTTGGTTCATACACCATTCAAGTTGCAAAATGGTTTACTGACTTAAGATACTGTATTATCATGTTTCCTTAATGGCAGAGCCTTCTTGCATACAACTGAAGTTGGTTCTATATACACCCATTTAAGATCACAGTTTGAGATGAGGAGGATGAGAATGATTTATCACCCACTCATTGCCAAGCAGCTTAACATACTGCAAGAAGGGAAAATTGAAGATTGGTTAACATCTGGCAAAATCTACCTGATATTGAAAGATTCAACTAGTTGAAAACAAGTTTTTTTCCACTTGAACTTTCCACTTTTCACTATGGTTGCCCGACTGTGAGACTAATCATAATTAATTTATTGATTAGCTATGAGGCCATGTCAGTATACAAAAAAAAACCCTCAATCTCTATATTTCAATCTCTATAGCCTCCTCGTTGGTGGATTGGTAGAAATAGCAATAGCAGTAGCAGTTAGGCTTAGATACCGCTTCAGTGCTTTACAGCTCTAAGCAGTTTACAGGGTCAGCCTATTTCTCCCAACAATCTGGGTCCTCATTTTAACCACCTCGGAAGGATAGAAGACTGAGTCAACCTTGAGCCTGGTGAGATCTGAACTGCCAAATTGCAGGCAGCCGGCAGGCAGTAGAAATAGCCTGCAGTACTATACTCTAACCACTGTGCCACCATGGCTCATATGATTTTGATTGGACTGAAATTGGACATTGTACTTAAAATATGAAATTTGAACTTCGTATCTGCTGATCTTCTTGACTCTAGCTATTATTTGCTGCTTTATTGTTTCCAATTCTTCCTTAACCTTCCTCATTTCTAGGTGATATTTTTTGATCAGATATTTCCTGATGTTCTTGTTCTTTAGCTGCTTTTTGCTTTTTTCATCTGTTTCAATTTGCTTAATCTGCCGTTAGGTTGCTGATCTTATTTTCCAGCCTTTTAATATTTGTACTAGCTGTTTCTTTGGAACAAGCTTATTCTGTTAGCTTTTTGTTTTTAGTTTTGCTTTTCTAGAGGCAAGTTATTCTTTGTCTGAATTCTTTTTTAGTTAGAGGCCTTTGTTCTTTCTGAGAAAGCAGAGAGTACTTGGTTTGGGAATGAAAACAATTCCACAGCTATGCTGGCTTCCTCTACTGGGGACTCTCCCAGTTTGCCTCCACAGTCTGAGCTACTTCTGGCAAAACTTTGTTTTCAATTTTGGCATATTTGCAGCAAGTAAACACTTTCTTCCAATGGTGCTGCAGCCTTGGTTGCTCAGCCAACATATGTGAACCCTGTAGTCTATTTGTCATCAGATGTCCATGAACTTCAACATCTAGTGCGCTCCTCATTGATGACCGATCAGGTATGGCTTTCCATAAATGATATCATACCACACTGTTTATGGGCGAGACACTCTTTGTCTGGCTCCTCTTAAGAGACCTATCCAATATGGCTAAAACTCTGGCATAGTTCCCATCTTCCTCACAGCAAACAAAGCCCCACAACCAAGTCAATACCTCACTGGGATGATGATGATGATGATGATGATTAATCACACAGCCAGATGTTCAGACTGGGTTAGGCATTTTTGTCTACTTATTTGTCTACCTACCTATCAAGGACCTGGGATAGGCAAATCTGGATGTTTGATGGTATTACAGATATCGTTGCAGGATGGAAGCTGTTCTGAGCAAATCTGTTTTCTGCAATTGACTGATGGCAAATTTGTCAATGCCAATGGTGTTCAACTAGTGCTCCAGTTGTTTTGGGATTGCCCCTGTATAAAGTTAGCACCCACCCCTCTCCTTAGAAGTATGAAATATTCTAGGAAATATTTAAAAAGCAGATATTTCCCTGGATGAAAAAAGAAGAAACATGTTTTTAAAGACAAAGCAGCTCCCTGCCCCACCCCTTCAGCTCCAGTGTGATGGGATTAAGACACGGCCCTCGGGACATGATAGAACTACCCATCTCACCACATGGCACCTGGGAAGACTGCATCACCCAGCAGGATTCAGCTAAACTTAGCACACAGACAACCTACAAAGCTAGATATGACCCCTGACAACAACTGATAAGGTACTCTGCCTGTGCCCCAGGAAGTTCAAAGCTTAGAGAGGGCATAAAAGCCAGGGACTCTCAGCTTCTCTGCCCTTTTCACCCAGGATTTCCAAGGCATGTGATCCTGTTTGTCAATAAACCATGAATCCAATGTCTGTCTTCCCACTTGAAACTGAACCCAGAAGGATATTTCTTCCAACACACCCAAGGCTCCTATTACTATTGGTACCACCTTTGCTTTCAGTTGTTCTACTTCTATTCATATGTCTTTGTATTTTGTTATCTTCTCCAATTCTTTCTCTTCTATTCTGCTGTCTCCAGGCTTATTATTACTATTATTTATTACTACTATTACTATTATTTACTACTACTACTACTATTATTCATCGCACACTCAGCCAGATATTCAGACTGGGTTTGGCATTTTTGTCTACCTGTCTAGTCCTTACCAAGGACCTGGGATAGGCAAATCTGGATTTTTCATGGTGTTACAGATATTTCTGCAGGATGAAAGTTGTTCCAAGTAAAGCTGCCTTCTGCAACTGATGGCAAATTTGTCAATGCCTATAGTGTTCAACTGGTGCTCCAGTTGCAGCCAAGGCACCTATTACTATTACTACCCTTGCTTGTCTTTGCCATAGTTATTCTATTTCTATGTCTTTGTATTTTGTTATCTTCTCCAGTTCTTTCTCTTCTATTCTGCTGTCTCCAAGCACTGCCACATCCATTATCCACATCCTTTTTTGTCGTTCTTGATATCATCATCATCATTATTATTATCAGCTGCAGGCTCTCCTCCCCATTTTCTTTTTTTACTTCCCAGTGTAGCTTGAGAAAGAATAACGGTCTCGAAGTCACCCAGCTGATTTGTTTTTTGCTTAAAGAAAATTAAACTCTGCTCTCCCACGTCCAATTACCTTAACTGTCACAATTCCTCACTGGATTGGGATGACGTTATTGTCAATAAGAGAAGCCTTGTTTCAGCACTGACTTTCCTTTTCAAAGAGTGCTTCTATCCACCTACATCCCGCAAAGCTACCACGAGAAGAAACCCTGCAGACTTTAAAACGCCAATTCGTCCCTGAAGGGGGAGGAGGAAGGAGAGAAAGAAGAAGAAGAAAGAACAAAACGTGAGGCGATCCATTCAGCGGCGATGGATTCTCCCGGGCCTCTCTCCAGGCTGTCGTCTCCGATCGACCAAGCGGAGCGCGATTCATTTTCTCTCCTCCGGCTTCGTCATTCTTTCTCGCCCAACCAACGCAAGGCCGGCTGCCTCATTCGGCCTGCTCCCAATCCGCCGTACAACAGCAGCATTATTCTCCCTTTCCTCTCGATCGATGAGCGGGGTAATCGACTCGATTGCCTGGGCTTCCATTTTGCGCGGGGGACGACAGATGCCGGAAAGGTGGCGGTAAGGAAACCGGGCTCCTTTTCTCTTCTTCTCGACTCCTTCAGCCCAACTCCTCCGGTGGCCCGGCTTGTCTTGCCAGGCTGAGAAATGCCCCTCTCTTTATAAACTTATCGCCGCCCTGAGAAACTCTGCTGTTTCTCACTAGGGACTAGCCACTTGTGTTCCCAACCTCGGTCCCACCCGGACTTCTCAAATTAGCTGCTATAAATTTCGGGGCCCCGATTCAGTCGAGCCGTCTTGCCAAGCGACCGAAGCCTCCCGGTGCCTTTGCCTTGACCGGAGTAACTTTCTGGGAGGGGAATCACTGTGTTGGGAGTGTGGGTCGGCCGGGATTGCCGTCGGTTTAGGGAGTGCCTCGCCTAAGGAGAGTTCAAGAGATCCGAGTCGGTCTTCCTCTTCGGGAGGCAGCTCCGTGGGCAGCCCCGCACTTTTCTGCGGAGGTGCCAGCCAGCCTGGAAGAGCCTCACCTCGGAGAATGGCTACATGGGGGCTGGGGATTATGGGAGTTGCCGCCCTGCAGGCCTCTAGACCATCTTGCGACTTGTAAGGCCCGTGGACTTCAATTCCCAGAATTCCCGAGCCTGGGGAGTTGGACGTTCACATTTATCTGTTTCTAAATACTTGTGGACTTCCCCCGAGCTGGCTGGGGGAATTCTGGGAGTTGAAGTCCGCGGGTCTTACAAAGGTTGGACGCTCCCGTTTCTAGGCGATAAAGGAGGACAGCCACGTCACAGAGTTGGGCGGGAAGATGGAACGCGGGACTCTGCGCAAGCGCATCCTCCTCCTCCTCGGCTATGGGACCTTTGGGACTTCGCGGGAGTTTTAGTCTCCAAGAGGAGCCGCCTGTTTATAATCCCGATGGAAGTCTTACTCTGTCCCCGAGTATGGCTCGGCGATGTCTGAGTTAGGTTTCCTTTAGGGTCTATCTGCCTTTCACAAAGGTGCCAAGGAAAGACTACAGAAAAGCCCTTTGGGGGAATTGGGATTTAATGGAGATGGCGCGCACACACACTAAATGCAGGTGCACATTGATGAGCTGATGGTGTGACCTCAAGCTGGTGTCAACTTTTAACAACTACACAAAAAGGTTTTAGATAACTTTTGTCTCCAACCTGGTTGTCCCAACGGTGCCTTTTCCAAAAGGTAACTGGGTTTTCTTTGCCTTCTTTCCAAAAGGCAACTGGACTTTCCAAAAGTCCAGTTGCCTCTTGGGAAAGGATTTGTTTTTCTTTTTGAAAACGTTTCACTTCTCATTCAAGAAGCTTCTTTGAAGGAATCCACCACTCAGAATTAAGCTTCAGTTTTGGAAAAAACACCTTTGTGACCTGGACGATTGAGAATCTCCATAGACCTTTGACCTGGTCCGTCAGCCCTTCCAACTCATTGCCACTGTAATGAAGACCATCTTACTGCTAATCATCCTCTTCTTCTCTTTCCTTCCATCTTTCCCAACTTAGAGCTTTCTCCAGAGAGCTGCTAAAACACACACACAGAGAGAGAGAGAGAGAGAGAGAGACCTGATTGTGAATGCAACAAATTGTTAAAAGGAACTGTTGAGGCTTCTCTGCTTCTAAATATTGTATTTATTAAATGTGTGTGCTCCCCATCTCTCTACCAAATGACTCTGGGCAATTGAAGTATATTAAAGAATTCTGGACCATTTAGTCCATTTAATACTTTCTCTTGAGAGTCCCTTCTTCAACCTGGTGATTGGAACTCTTCTGGGGTATATGTGGAAGACTCAGATTGGGAAAGGCATAGTTAGAGGAGAAAAGGATAAATACAGATAAAGGATTAATTACTTCCTGTGAGATGGATGGCTGTATACATTTTATTAATAAACAAACATTTGAAAAAATGATAGAAGCTATAAAGGAACCTCATTTGACCTTTCTCAGTAATTATGTACATCATCACTCGCAAATCACCAACTTAAAATATATCATTTGACCATACAGTATAAAGCATGAAACCTTTCTCAGACTAGTACATGTGCTAATGTTGAAAAGGAAGAATAAAACAACCATGATCTTATTTGTAAGATGTTCAAGATGTTTGTAAGATGTACAACTAGGAATTGTATCTTGTTCTATTGGATCCAAATGAGATCTTAATGTGCCTGGTTCTCTATTATAATGGTAAACTGAACCTCATGCTGATGAAAGCTGTTCAGATTTAATCGACTTTCAGTGGAATAACTTATTTTTAATATATTATACTCTCCATGATTACTAAATTGCATTCCAGGCCCACTCTTCTGTATGTCTCTGTTTCAGAGTTTCTTTAAACGAAGAAAAGCATGGAAATGGCAACTGTAAGTAGTATAACTATTTTTTATTATATCAGATAGGTATTACCTGTATGTAAGGATTTTAAAAAAAACTATTGTGAAATGAAGATACAATACAAAGTTTTATATATAGGACTGGAATTAGTATATTTTAACCCTATTATAAATATGTTGCACATTGTTTTTTATTCAGATCTCTCAAGTATAATCAGAAAGCAATGGATAAAATTGTAAATATGTTTTTCTTCATGATGCATCTACAAATAATTGCCATCCTCTATATTAATATAGCAGCCCACATTTGATGATGGGGAAAAATAAGTCTTGTTTTACTACAGCTTTTTTTGGCCTTTATTTTAAAAAACCCTATATCATTTTATGTGGCATTCAGAAACATAGCTTGTGTTGTAATCTTACACCCACATGTTTTAATTAAAAAATAAAACTTGACTAAAGTTCCATTGACAAATGTATAAATAGAAATAATAAGGTGGAAATAGTAAGACCAGAACTTTAGTTGATTGTCAGCCAAATGATCAATATTTGTCATTACAGTAAACTACACTGAGCTGGTACCAATCCCCTGAGTCTTATTGATTCAGGCCATGTTAGGAATAAAGATAAAAAACAAGATGTGTTTCCATTAGTTTGTGTCCTAATAATTTTCTGGCCTTGATCTTATCAGACTTTAGAATTTCTGGCCTTGTTCTTATCAGACTTTTGAATGTTTGAGCAAGGTATGCAGGAGGCTGGATTAAATTTTCTGCCAGTATAAAGAATGGTGAAACACTATAATCAACTTATAAAGTGGCCTGTCAGTTTAGCAATAAAAAATGTGCTGTCTCCAGATAAACCAGTTTAACTAACTTGTCACCTATCCTATTTAATAGCTTTGCCAGAGGAAGAACTGGCATAATGCATGCATATATATTTTATTTTTTATTATCCTTTGTAAATAATTCCATCATCTTTTACGTACAGGTAGTCCATGCTTAACAACTGCCTTGTACAGTACCATACAGTACAGTAACCATTCACAGTTATGATGGTGATGAAAAATAACTTTGCTATCAGTCCTCACTTTTATGACTGTTACAGCTCTGTAAAGCAGAGGAAAGTAACATAAGGACCATCGCTGTTTCATTTGGCAACCATTTTGTTTAATGACCCAGTTGCCAGTTCCATTTATGGTTGCTAAATGAGGACTGCCTATATGTGCTTTAATATAATCTCTGTATATAGTTAGATGTAATAACTGTATGGTAAATCTTGTGTAAAATTCCAGCATCTAAAATGTTGGTTTTTATTAATACATTTCAAGTATTTTCTTTAATTGCTAATACAAGAAACTAACCAGCAAAATTCAAGGATGATGAATCCTTGTGGTAACAGATACTTTGGAAAGAAGAGATGTCCCTTCTTCCCAAAGTTTTATTAAATCTGAGAAGTTACATCATTGTGTTCATTTCCATCATATGTGTAATGATCTCCCTCATCTAGAATACTAATAGAGGTGGTGGACTCATCTCTTACTTCAGTGGAGTAGCCAGGAGGAAATGTCCTCCATTGCCTCTCTAATCGACTGGGAGCCAATTCAAACATAGCCTCATTGTAACATGTTCCATGCCTGCATCAGCTGTTGTGGAACAATACTGTATGTGCTAAGTCATAGTTTTCATACACAACCTGTGTTGCCTTCAGTTTTCTTTGTGTCCCCTTTAGGTACTTTGTAACAGAGCTAGACTGGTGACATACCTGCCGGGATTTTATTCTTTGGTTAAAAGGGTTATAACTCCCAAGGCTTTTTCCACAGCAGGATCTTCTGGCTCAGATGAGCCTTCCGTTGCTGCTGCACCTCCTGACATATGTAAGGAAAATTTCAATTTTCTCACATTAATGATCATTAAAACCATCTCTTTGTAGAAAATGTTTTTCCCTTCATTCTCTCATGTCTGATTCTCAGAAACCCATCTGCACAAATCCCTGCAGTTTTCTTAGCAAGGTTTTTTTTAGATGTGGTTTGCCATTGCCTCCTTCCTAAGACTGAGAGAAAGTGACTGGCCCAAGGTCATAAAGCAATCTGTGTATTTTGGTACTTTTAGCCTAAATTCAAGATTTACTAACTTCCACTGAGATCAGTGGGACACACTTTTTCAGTTTCTATTGAAGTATATCCTTACGCTTCTGCTTTTAAGCAGCAACTTTCAGAAAGCAATGTCGTTTACTGCTGAAAACAAATTCTGTATGTGGGTGCTTTACAGTGACACAAACTTAATTTTTATTAGGTCCAAAAACAGTGTGGCCAGATGAAGTGATGGGTCCTTTTGGCCCCCAGGACCAAAGATTTCAGCTACCTGGTAATATAGGTTTTGACTGTCATCTAAGTGGGACGGCACTTCAGAAGACAAGACAAGTTCATAAAAAATTGCCTGATTTACTAATGGAACCCTTGGCAAGTGAAAGGCATGAATTTGTGATGGCCCAGTACGTCAACGAGTTCCAGGTAAGTGTACAACTCTTTTGGGAAGGTGAGATTCAGATCTAGACATGTGTTCACTGCTTTCTTTGGTGGATGGCACAAGAGGTCCTAAATGCATCTTTAATGTAGATTTCAACTTGCACAGTAATTTATGATCCACATAGCAATTGTTAGACCAGACATTCCTCACAGAGTTCACATACAAGCTAAGAAGTTACTTTCTGTGGATTCACTTTGATCACAATTTATCATTTGGAAGTTTTTCAGCCTTATTTTCTAAAAGTATCCCATTGACTTAAATCTAATTTTCTGAATAACGAATACTTACTTGTCCACAAAAGCCAACATAATGACCATATTGTCTACTGGAGGGAATGGGGACAGAAAGCCAAAATCCATTATCAGTAATTATATTTAGTAGTAAATGTAACAATTATCAAGTAAAAAGAATATGTAGGCATGAGTTTTTCTGATAGAAAATAATTCTTTGTCGATTATTCTAAAATTTCCTGAGAGAGAACAAAATCTGAACAAATGATTGTTAGACTCCATTTTAGGATATAAACATTCTGACTGTCAGTGCCAAAACTGATCCCATCCTTTTAGAGATATAAGTGCCTTGGTTGATTTAAAAAAAAAAATCAGCTGGCAGTCCTTAGTATGCTGGAATTCTAGATGTTGCCACCAGCTTCTTTTTGCTATATAAGAATGCAGCCTAGATCTAGATCTTAATCAAAATAGAAAACTTTTGCAATATATAAGTAGCTTTGCTCATTAAGCATGACATATGACATATGCATAATCAGAAGTAGCTACAGTGATACCATAAAACTTTCATAGATTATTTGGGGATATGTTGCAAGAACATCTAAATCAAGTCAACTTGATACTTGTAGATCACCAGTTGTTTCCAAACTGTATACTTTGAGAGAATATCTGCCCTTTGGTAGCTTCAATATATTGGGGAGGATTTAAAAGATTTGCCCTAGTTTGTTTTGATTTTTATCAGCATCTGTTGATTTTCATTGCTCTACAGTGGTACCTTGGTACTCAACTGCTTTGAAACTCATCAGACTTGGTACCCAACACATTCTGACATGAAAATTTTATCCCAGTACTCATTATTTGTTTAGTACTCAACACATGTACAAGAACTTGTTGGTGTTGGCTGTGTTGTGACTTGCTATATTATTCCTTGTGGGAAAATATTGAGGTACCATTGTACTACTCAAAATTATTGTTACCAAATCTATTCTGCCAACAATTAGTGCTCATGCTAGAATAACTCTCTTTATCTGTACATTATAGGAAAAGTTCAGTAGCGATGGGCAAAGAACCCTCTTTTTTAGTATTCTTCCTTTCACTGGGGAATGCATCATAAGTTTTTGAAGTAGAATTTGAAAAATCAGTATTAAACAGTCACACTAAACAATAATTCCAAGTAGGAATGCCTTTATGCTTAATGTGTTTTATGGGTTAGGGTTTCTTTACTTTACAAAATGTATATGCTGCTGCAGTCTTGGAATCCAGACAGTTAAGGGGAAATAATTACAAAATCATGAAAGCATAAAAATCATAAAAAATTGAAACTATGCACAGATGGACTGTCACTGATATGTTATTGCAATGCCTTGAAGCCTGTCAAGAACTCAGATGTACTTTACACACCTAGAAGTTAAGTAATGTATTTTTTGCAGAACCTTAGAATTCCAAGAGCTGGAATAAAGAACTAAAATAAATATTTTCTAAACAGTAGCATGCATTAGGTTCAAAACTTATCTTTTTTTTCCCAGGGCAATAAAGCTGTTCATAAACAAGACATTGCCAAAGCCAAAAGTTACTTTGAAACTGCCAAAGTAGAATGTGTGATACAAGCATGCCCAGAACTGTTGCGCAAAGGTATGCGTTTCCCGTACACCCCCATCCCTCTACAATGTTAATTTTTTTTTTTTAAGTGTATAAAATTGTAGCTTGAAGAAAAAACATGCACAGATTGACAGTTTAATGTTTTGCATCTAGCATGGTAACTTGTCAATTTTCTTGGGAGTTCAGTACATTTGAATCAATTTTACTTTTGAATTAACTTCCTTTTTTAATCCTAGACCAGTTTTCTATATGAGCAAAGTATTTAGTGCGCCTGTTAAAAGAATTGTTAGGGAGCAAACGTCTCTTTCTCTTGGTTGCTTGAGGCTGACTACAGCTAATTCTCAACTTACGACGGGATGCTTAGCAACCAAAATTACAACTGAACCTTCCCCCACCCCACCCCCCCAAAAAGCTAATTAAGATGGTTATACACACACTCCATAGTCAGATAACCATATTTTGGGCACTTGGCAAATAGTGTAGAAATTTGCCCGTGGAAAAGTTATTTAAAATATTTATATCTTATTTTTTATAGATTTTGAGTCAATGTTTCCTGATGTTGTTTCCAGTAATATAACAGTACTAACGGTAACACAGAAAACTGTAAACGATATGACTGGGTGGAGTGAAGAGGTAGAAAATGAACGAGAAGGCCTCATTGAAAATGTAAGTCACATAGGATGATCAGATGTAATTACTTTCCACAGTTTATGTATGTGTGTTTTTATACGTGAGTGCCCAAATATATGCATACATTCCTAACTCAGTGTACTCTTAAGAATGTAAAGTATTATTTACAAAAATAAAGCCTTTTTGAAAGGACAGAGTTTTTTAATAAAAAATAAATAAAAAGATATTTTATTAAATTGTAGAAGCCAAAAAGAAGTATATGTCCACAGTCATCAAAAATCAAATTCAGTTCTGAAGAGGCATTATATTTTTTAAACTGTTAACCAGCCTCCTTTATATACATCTATACATATACATATATACATACATACATATATATATATATATATGCACATACACGCACCTCTATCCATATCCATCTACACATAATTAACTGTTAACTTTATATTATGTCACTATGATGTTTCACAATAAAGTATTAATATTAAAAATTTTATGCATATTCATTTTTAGCATGACATGATGACATTCTACTGCTTTTCATTCTGTATAGTAAATGAAGGGTTTCATCTGAAAGCTTGTTAGTCCTTGCTTAAATAAAAACTATTTAGCTCTGCCCAAAATTGCCACTAGAGGTCATTCCTTTTCCAGGCTCCCTTTTAACCACTTTGGCTTTAAGCAGTCTGTAATTAAGTTCCAACAGGTGTCAGTATTTACTGCTGGTATTCTCCATAAAATGTTATTTACTGAACATGTCTGGTTAAAGGAAAAGCTCACATTTTGAGGGTGGTGGTTTCCATTTTTGAATAATTGTAACAAAACAATAGCTTGTAGTTAACAGCTAGAAATAGATGCTTTAATTTCAAAAAAGAAGGGAAGCATTGAAAACAAGTTAAGCCTTAATTAGTATAATTTCCCATACATTCCAACTGGAAAACAATGATTTGTTTCTGATTTTAAAATACAAGCTTGTTCTGAAACTGACAATTTATACTTTACTGGGTTAAACAAAACTGAAAATTTTGTGTAGAGATTTGATTTTGAATTTTTGCAATGTACATATATTTGTTTTCATAAACTATTCATGTGTTGAAAGCTATCTAGATACAGTCACCTTTTCCTGAAATATATGTTCCTATATGGTCCTTTTATTAGGCTTAATTTCAATATATCATGCACCATAGTGCAAAATTAATCGTAGCTGGTATGAGCCTTAATCATGTTCATTGCAAATGGCTCAAGCCACTGCTAAATTCTACAATAATATTTTACATTAGCTATTCTTTGGGATTTGGGGGAAACATCCTTTTTCCTACATAATTATAAGTCCCTTTGGTTTTGGCTTCTCTGAATTGATGCAATATACTTCAGAGTAAGATATTACTTCTGCATGTACCCTGAAATTTATTTATTTATTCCATTTAATTTACTTGACAAGGATTTAGAAGGAATCCTTACTAGCTTTTTTTAAAAGATTTTTATTTTTTAAGACATATACAGATAGAAACATAAAAACATAAAACCATCTTCCAATTATATACATACAGTGTGTCAGTTGGTTACAAATCTTTTGTGTTATCCTTTCATAGTCCTTACAATTTGTATAGATTCTCAAATTGTCAATCTAGCATATGCTTATATATTTATCAGCTATTAATCATTCATTTGACTAAACTATTATTCCATCATTTTCTACGAGATATTCTAGATTTTATTATAAATTTATATTATACATTCATCCAATGGTTATTTTATATTATATTCTATATCAATCTATTGATCTTCTATTACGAAACTTCCTAATCTGTTCATTGCCATGTCTTCTTGTCTAGCCATTGATAAAATAAGTCCCATATCATATAAAATGGTTTATTTTCTTGTTCACCTTACTAACTTTTACAACTTAAATTGCACTACCTTTTTTATTTTCTGATCAAGGCAAAAAAAATGAATGAACATGAGAAAAGTAGATGATGTATGGTTATCCCATTTTAATTTTAGGTGCTGTGAGATTAAGAGAACAAAGTTAACATTACAATTCAAGTGAACAATGAAAGCAATTATATTACACAGACCCCATGAATTATTAACTCTTTATTGACTAGCGCCAAGGCGTCCTTATAGACTTTATGTGATCCTGATATAGCTTAATCGGATAGATCCTGTTAGTAAAGGTATTCAAGTCGATCAGCTGAAGTTCTGAGCATTTGCTCTTTGGTTTTGAAGTGACTTTGTGCTTGATGGAGAAAGTCTATTTTGCATTTTTCTGTTTTCTCTCTTCTTAGTTTATCAACGGTGCTAAGGAAATTTGCTACGCTTTGTGTTCTGAAGGCTACTGGGCAGACTTTATTGATCCGACTTCTGGATTAGCAGTAAGTATTTATGTTAAAATATAGTACAGAGAGGAATATCATGCTCAGACTAAGGCAAACTAGCAGTAGAGTATAAATCCTCCATCAATTGCTTGTTCTTGCTGGTTGTCATTAAAGGACTAAGTTATTTTTGTTTAATAAGTGTATTGCTATTTCCTATCATTGTAGGAGCTCATGGTATTGCACATAGTTCTTCCTGTTTTATACTTAGCGATACAAGAGCCTTTTAAGGTACAAGTAATTCTCATTAATGGCCATTCAAAGTTCTGGCGGTTCTGAATAAGTGGAACTTAAGACCAGCATTCAGAGTTATGGCTGTACCAACACCTCCGTGGTCACATGATTGTTATCTTGGTACTTGGTAATCTGCTCACAGTTATAGCAGTAGCACTTAGACTTATATGCCGCTTCACAGTGCTTTACAACCCTCTCTAAGCGGTTTACAGAGTCAGCATATTGCCCCCAACAGTCTGGCTCCTCATTTTATCAAGGATGGAAGGCTGAGTCAACCTTGAGCCAGTGGGAATCGAACTGCTAAACTGCTGGCAGTCAGCAGGAGTAGCCTGCAGCACTGCATTCTAATTACTGTGCCCCCGTGGTTATGACGGTTGCAGCATCCTGCAGTCGTGTAATCGCCATCTGCACCCTTCCCTGGAAGTTTTCCAAAGGCAAAGTCAATGGGGAAGCCATCAGGGGAAGTTGTAAGTAACTTCCACCACTTTTTCTCCGAGGGACTCTACTACGAAATATGAGATCTTTGAGGTCTCCTCTCTGCAATCCACACACACTTGCATAGCTCCACAGCAACCTCTTCCAGTCTTCCCATACTTCCCAGTCCCCATGCACTCATTTCAGTTAAAAAGAAAAAAAAAACCCCACCCACCTCATTCCATAGTACTTAACCTACCCATTGCCTTGTTTTCAGGCCACCTGGAACTTGCCACCTCCTGCCAGTGATTTTTTGGGAGGCAGGAGGAAATCCCAAGGCACTGTCATAGGAGATCCTCACTTAATGACATACAATTTTGCTTAGCCATTGCAATGGCGACAGCAGGAATTGCCATCGCTAAGTGATGCAGTAATATGACAATGTGCTTTACAACCACATCATTTAGTGATGGAAATTCCATTCGTTAAGCGAGGACCATCTGCATGTTATTGTGAGAGACTGGTAGGCCGCAATCAACTAGCAAACGTCACATATTACCCCGAGTTTCCCTTGCCCTAATCTGGCATTGTGCTACAGAAGCTCTTGCTCATTTGCACACATGCTAACTGCATGCTGATTTTCATCCGGGATAATGATGCATCAGAAGTGCTAGTGTTCAGATACTTTTCTCCCATTGTTCTTTATATTTTGCCAGTCATTGTGCAGGATGCCTTTTCTGTGGATAAAACTGAATCGCGTAGGAGGAAAAAAGACTAGAATATTTTATTTTTCTTTCCTAGATGTCAGACTTTTCCTCCTATAACTTTTATTAGTGGATGCCGACTGTGTTTAGAGATCCCTGTTCTAGAATGGTGTTGTAATGACGAGGCAGTCGAGTTGCTTGATCGTGATCAACTGAATCATGATGACTTTATTGGAGTCTAGTCTTGCATTTATACACATTTTTAGTAATCCTCCAACATTGGTTAACTTTGGTTATTGCTTAACTTTCGTTATTGTTTAGCATAGTAATTAATACAATTAATTATCTCTAGTTAAAGTCTAACATATGTTTACTTCCTCTCTCTAATCTTCCTTTAGATGAGTGACTTTGTTTGCCTGAGTTGTAATTGCTTGTAAACATTCTTTATCTGAGGTTTGCCATCCAAGATAAGAACATTCCTGCAATTACAACTCTACAGAATGGGCTGTGGCAGTCTTTGCGACATATCGTTGATTCATTAGATCTGTTTTGTTAATGTGGAAATTAAGAGCATAATATTGCTGATAATTGCACATCAACTCATTCAGATAATGCCTCACAGAAATAAAAAGTAGTAACATGGTATTTACTTAAGCAGGAATTTAATCAAAGCAACTGTTATAATACTCGATGTTTCTTTCTTTTTCTCTCCTTTCAGTTCTTTGGCCCTTACACAAACAACACTCTTTTTGAAACTGATGAACGCTATCACCAATTAGGATTTCTTGTGGAAGACCTAGGCTGCTGTAAAGTTATTCGGCATAATATATGGGGGACTCATGTTCTAGTTGGAAGCATATTTACCAATGCTAACCCTGACAGTCCTATCATGAAGAAACTGTGTGGGAATTAATAGCACCTTTTCACTTAAAAGTTGGTTAATAAACATTGTTAGCGGTAGATAGATTAAGTAATGCTGATTTATAGATAGGAAAAGTTCTATTATTTATTCTAGGTTTTGTAGTATATGATTTATATATCAATGGAACATTTTATTTTTGAGATCATGTATGTATGTATGCATGCATGTGTACACACACGCACACATACATATGTCTCTGAAATCCTGAGCTCATTCATGTAAATTAAATGAAACCCCCTCAGCAATTTTATTTGAGAGTACAAATCCTCAACACTTTCACCTTACTTCAGTTACACATCTTCGGTTATAACATTGAAGAAGGAAAATGTGGTTGCACAATTAAAATAACTATCTCAACCATCTTCATTTTTACCAGAACCAGTGTTATATGTTGTTTGAATATTACCAAAATAGCTCAACTTGGTTATTGAAAAAATGGGATTCACTTGGATTCTCTTGCAACTGATGATAAAACATAAAGCAACACAACACTATTGTGTGTTAGCATGCAATGTTTCAGGTGCAATTCAACCTCTTGACTCTAGCTCGCCATATTGTGGCTCACTCCTTGAATACAAGTATACATTGAATTCTTTTAGCAAATAATTATCATCTCTTGAGGCATTACAGCAGGTTAAAGGTGGCTGTTTTGTTTCTACAAGTACACGGTACATTGAAATTGCCCGACGCATCAGTTTATATTGAATATCTTTAGCAGTAGGGTGTCTCAGGTTAACATTCCTTAGTTGGATTTGGGTTGTAGTATCAGTTAAATGCAACAGCTGTCACTGAGCTTCTACAATAATTCATGGTTACATTGATGATTTGAGATTCAGGTCAGTGTGCACGTTGGTTGGAAAGTGATGTATAATATCATTTGTATATGTGTAAATTTACCATTTGAATTTTTTTCTCTGTGATTTTGTTTACAGTAGTTGAAGGTGCTACATACGATCAAACACTTCTATAGGCTAAATCTTATGGTTTATGGATGCTGTAAAATAAGAAAACGGTAAATGATCCGATTGGGCTGAATATTTTAAATTGAAAGCGAGTGTTAAAATGTTTTAAATGCATCTACAAACTGCTATGCCTATGGAACAGCACACAACATCCACTTTTGCTGCAGATCTTTCCTGCCTGACTACCTTCATACCTTCGAAAAGTGAAGCTAGGTTGAGGTAGTTTGTTTACTGTTGGGGGCCATTCCAGTAATGGGGAGACACCATTTTTCCATTCGAGGTCAAGAAATCTTCCTTGTGCCTCCTTGGGCAGCAGCACCCAACCTTTTGGGCACCAGGGACCAGTTCCATGGAGAGAGGTTTTTCCGCAGATCGGGAGTGGTTTCACATACCACCTCCTTCCACAGATGGGTCTTCACTTGTTTGCACAGCCCTGTTTCTGGCATGCCATGGCCCGGTGCCGGTCCACAGATCAGGGGTTGGAGGCCCCTGCTCTTGGGTAAGGAGGAAAAACAAGTCAAAAAATAGAATTTGTTTCCGGGGAAGATTTTAATTTTCTGTCAGACCACTCAAACAGCAGCATCTTTGATCACTTCCTTTTGCTGAGTGCCTCAACCTGCCTTCAATTTTCTTAGCAAGCAGTTGTGGTAAAGTTGTTCCAGACGTTGCACTACGAATAGTTTGAATTAATTTGGCAACCTTTAAACCAAATTCTAGGGCAGATGTGTATTGTTACTGATTTGTAGCATCATGGGAAGCTACCTTGGGAGCAGTGGTATTGTGCAATTTCTGCTCATTTGCCTTTAAAGAGGAAAGGCTCTGCAGGAAGGAAAGATCTGTTGTGGGGTTTTTTGTTTTTTTCTTCTTTCATATTTATGTGGATAAGATAGACAAGAAAGGGAAAGATATTGTATGTTAAATGAATTGCTGGAAGATGATCAGGAGAAAGCGGATCTTTGCCAAAATCAAATTTTTAGAGCTATCCGTTTCTTGAGGTAAACTTTTATTTATTTTAATTTTATTTTGCAACTATTGGCAGGCTGCTATTGAGACAGCTTCATGAACTGTAAATTTAAGTATAATTTGAAATCTGCTATAAGTACACCTATTTTTATACTGAATAAATGCTGGAACAAGAAATACTGTAAATACTCATTAGTCCTGACATAATTTCTAAATTGTATATTGGAACTAATTTAAGAAATAAAGTGGAGATTCAGTATTGTTGGCATTATGTTGCTATTTTAACTCTTGCGTTAACCATTTTTAAAACCGCCAGTATGATTGTGATTTTATAGGAAAGAGAAGTGACAGAAGTATAAATTAGTTGTTGCTTTATTTTTTCGAAACAGCAATTCTTTCTGTAATAATTTGTCATTAAAACTGTTTTAAGTATTGCCTTATCTTTCTAATCCAAGTAGAGGGGCTATTTTATGAATGATTGAATGAAAGTGTGTTGTATCCTCGACTTACAACTGTTCATTTAGTGACAGTTCAAAGTTTCAGTGGCACTGAAAAAGGTGACTTATGGCTGGTTTTCACACTTACAACATCGAAGCATCCCCATAGTCACATGATTTACATTAGGATGCTCAACAACTGACTCACATTTATGATGGTTGCAGAGTCCCACAGTCATGTGATTCTTTTTGTGACTTCCTGACAAGCAGTCAGTAGGAAAGTGAGATTCATTTAACAACAGTTTGTCTAATGTAACAGCTATTGTGATGCACTTAACCGTTGTGGCAAGAAAGATTACAAAATGGGGCAAACTCAATTAACAAATGTTTCAGTTAGGAACAGAAATTTGGGGCTCAATCTAGGGCTACCCGTAGTTCTAAACGCTTCCTACATAATACCGGTAATGAACTATTTTATTCAAAAGATTGAAAAACAAAATCCAAGAGAAGAAAAGTAAGCAGAGACCGAAAAAAGTAACAAAAACATTTTTTTAAAAACCTGAAAACCCCAAAAGACCAAAACACATATTATTCTCCAATGCCCCAGTTGAACACAATTGCAACAGCGATTGCTTAGCAACTTGCAAAGCAGGTCCAAAATTTATAAGCTGCTACATCTATTTGCAACCTAATTGACTTGTCCATTACATGCATGGAAAAAAAATAGTTAGCAGGTTAGACAACAGTGAAGGTAAAATTCAAAGGACTCTGTTAACACTCCCAAAGGTGCTTTTTCAAGAAGCAACTGGACTTTTTTTTGTTTTTTTGGAAGACGTTTCACTTCTTATCCAAGAAGCTTCTTGAGCTTCAAAGAAGAACAAGAAAGTCCAGTTGCCTCTTGAAAAAGCACCTTTGGGACAACTGTGACTTGGATGACAGAATCTCCATAGACATCTGTTAATAATCTGTTGTTGTAATTTACTCATAGGAAGTCTATACTGTTTCTTATTTACCACAAACCATTCCAATCATTATCTCTGATCAGTCCAGGGTCAAATACCCTCATTTGATTATTAATAATGAATTTTTCTTAGGTTTTTTTATAGAAAACACTGAACAATTGCATCTCATTTCCAAAGTTTGTAAGTCTTTGTTGTAAATATCTCTGCAACATTCATTATTTAATAATTCTTGACAACACAATAGTTCCTCCTGCCAAGAAAGTCCAGTCAATTCCATGATCTCAGAATTTCTTATATTCGTAGTCTTTTTCTATTTCTAAAAAAGGCAGTGCAACAGCACATGATCAATTTCCCATTCACCTGAGAGGAACATTGCCGTGAGCAAGGGTAAAACCTCTTCTGGTATGTGGGATAATGATCTAGAGATACGGGTAGTCCTTGACTTACAACATTGGTTTGGAAACTGAAGTTACAATGGCACTTTAAAAAACGACAACCATTTTTCTCAAAACCATTATAGCATCTCCGTAATTGTGGTGAAAATATAGCATCTACGGTAGCATCCTAGATGTGTTAATAAGCCACGTTGATCTTGGCTGTAAGAGACACGTTGATAGTCTGTCTTGGTTCTTAGAGGATGTCAAGATCTGGCTGGCACAGAACAAGTTCAAGCTTCTCTTCACATTTGCATAGTTAATAAAAAGAAGACATAGGTTCTTACCATGCCCTGTTAGTTACCTGCTTTTGTTATGAAATGCATCTCCTTAATTCATCTAGGGATAAATGGGATAAATGCATCTCCTTAATTCATCTAGGGATAAATAACATTTCCATATGTCAGATATTTGGATTATTGGCATTTCCCATTATGGTGAGTTCCCCTTGTAAAGAAATATCAATATAGGTTTTTCATTTTTGAACCATAAGAAATCTCACCTTGTTTCAAATTCTTTTCAACATTCACTTGAACAATCGCTCACGCCTACCGGACCACAACTAATGAAATATTAATATCATTAACCTTTAGTTAGCTTATAAAATATAGCAATCAATCAAAAAGCTTTGGACAGAAGTGTACCTTCAAATTAATATATTCTAGGCAATCACACTGGTGTTAGAATTCAGTTCTGTCACTTTCCGATATAATGCATAGCTCCTAACAAGAGCTTAGGTGAAACAAAAGATACTGTTTGTCAGATAGTGAAATTTGTAATTGAAATTCAAAAAAGTGAATGCCATGAAACATTTTACTCTCAATTCAACTGATACGATGTTTTTTTTTTAAAAAAAAAAGTTGTCTAAGAATGCTAAATATAATTTGCATGTCTTTTTTAATAACTATATAACCAGATCAGACTTGCAAAGAATGGATATCGTCATATATGTTCCCAACTCTTAACACGGGAAAATAAAACATGATTTTACTTGGAAAAAAGTTTCCTCGGTTGCAAAGTACCTCTAGCCCTATCACCTCTGAAAAGAAAGATGGCCTAATATGCAGAGTATATATGATGCAACATAAATTAGGCACTGCGGATCACAAAGTAATAGCTTGAAAGGCATAGAAGGTGATGTGTAAATATTTTGGATCAACTGCTGGACAATACTCCTGTCTGTGGTGATAATAAGTTACTATGCTATGTAATATTGGAGTATCTTTATCATTTTATGGAAGGGATCCCTTCAAAGACTAATGCTCTATGACAAAGGTCTTCAAACTTGGCAAGTTTAAGACTTATAAACTTCAACTCCCAGAATTCCTGAGCTACCGTGACTTGGAGAGGAATTCTGGGAGTTAAAGTCCACAAGTCTTGAAGCTGTCAAGTTTGAAGACCCCTGCTCTATGAGCTAAAGCAGGGGTGTCAAACTCAACTTCATTCAGGGCAGCATCAGGGTTGTGTTTGACCTCGAGGGGGGCATGGCCAGCGGGGGCACGGCCAGCTCAACGTCACTCGTGTCAGGGACACTGGTGGCCAAATGCTAAGGCAGGACTTCCCTCAGACTCTCCCTCCCTCTCATAATCTTCCTTCTTCTTTTTCCTTCCCTCTTCATTCTCCTTTCTTTTTCCTTCCCCTCTTCCCTTCTTTTTCCTTCCTTGATCTTTTCCCATCTTCCCTTCTTTTTCTTTGTCTTTCCTGTTTCTCCTTTCCTGTCCCTTCTTGGATGTGCAAATACAAAAGGGGAAACATTTCTCCTTTGGTTTTATTTTGCTTTTAGTTTAGTTTTGCTAGCCCTCAGGCCCATGGGCCTTGAGCTTGACACCCCTGAGGTAAAGCCAGTGAAGCAGGAACCAGCACAATTGAGGCCAGACAGAGTCTGGTTGGTACAGGCACTGAGAAGTTGCTCCTCCGTTTCAAGGCTGGGAAACAAATCACCATTAACTTGAAAAGGCCTAAGATTTAAAACCTGGGGCCGGCATATACATACAAAGGGCACCAATTCCATTTTCTGCAGTGGTCAGATCTTCTGTGTATGCATGGTTTTCTTCTTGCAATTCATCTCGTTTTGCTGCGCCCGTGAAGATTCTGCCTTTACCTAATTCCTGAACGCGGGGTTGAATTTCTAAAAGAGATTCATAGCCATGACAAGTTTGAAATCTGACAGGCACCCATACAAATGTATTTTTGACAGCATCTGAAAGTCAGCAAGTCTTTTCCTAATTTCCAGGGGACCTGCCACCAGCTCACCTTACATGAAGATCAATTCCTTACTGAGCTACTTACATTTCATCATACCAAGACAACATCTTGTTTTCTCTGCTGTTTCCACTGAATTAGCATTACTCAGGGATGGGATGCTACCGGTTCTGCCTGGTTCTATAGAACCAGTAGCTCTGAAGAACAGCAGACACTGAACCGGTTCTGTGTCTGCTGCTGTTTGGCCCACCCGCCCACCTGGGCTCTTACCTGTCCTTTATTTCCTGCTTTTTCAACCTCAGCTGCTTTGCGCGGCACAGCTGAGGTTGAAAAAGCAGGAAAAAAGAGGCTTTCCAAATGCTGCACACCTGCGCACAGTGCTTTTCAGCTGTCCGGGCGGCACAGCTCAAGGTTGTTTACACGCGCACACACACGTGCATGCAAAACATAGTCACCAAACTGTAGTAACACCACTGGAATCCCACCACTGACATTACTCTTAGGCACAGGTCCTGCCTCTGTAGAATGGGAGGGGAAGTAACGTAATGAAGTTTAGACCCATTGCTTCCAAAGGGAAGAATTTCAAAATCCAAGTTTAAAGTTGATTGGGTTATATATAGGTAGTCCATGATTTATGATCACAATTGAGCCCCAAATTTCTGTTGTTAAGTGAAATGTTTGTTAAGTGAGTTTTACCCCATTTTATGACTTTTCTTGCCATAATTGTTAAGTGAATCACTGAAGTTGTTTTAAGTTAGTAATATGGTTGTTAAGTGAATCTGGCTTCCCCATTGACTTTGCTTGTCAGACACCCGCAGAAGGTGATCACATGACCCCAGGAAATGGCAATTGTCATAAACATGAGTCAAACATCCAAATTTGGATCATGTGCCTATGCGGTGATGCAATGGTCATACGTGTGAAAAATGATTATACGTCTCTTTTTTCAATCCTGTTGTAACTTTGAATGGTCACTAAATGAACTGTTGTAAATTGAGGACTACAATTTATAATTCCAAATTAGAAGAAGAAAATTGGGGGGATGATTTTAAACTTATAAATATGTAAACAATAGCAAACCAGTAGTATATATCTACTGTCTCTGTGCCAATGTAAGGCATATGAAATAGGGTCAGAAAGAATAGATTGGAGATGCAGAAGGTTGAAAGCAGGAAAGAGGAATTATTGAAATTCTTCTCCACTCCACTGTGATGAGAGATGCCT